TTATATATTATATATATNTAATAGTTATATATATATACATAATATATATATATAACGTTATATATATATATATATATATATGTAGCTAACGACATATCGTCAGCATACCCGGAGTTGCGTAAAGTTCCGAATGAAATTGAATGATCCTACTCACACTCATCAATAACTCTTCTTAGGAATCTGGAGAAACGGACTTCTCTCGGCTGAGAGAGTTCTATCTAAACGGAATGGCCAAAACGTACCGCCATACGTTAGTGTTTTCGGCATACATGACTCCGGAGATCAACTCCCTGATGACGCGCTACTGCAAAGGATTTGAGGGAAAGGTCAAGGTAAGGTGTTTGCTCACTGGTGCGTGTGGTTACCAGTGGTTACTAGTTTTGACTAGTGCTTACTACCCTTTAAACGTATGCATGGTGCTGGCAAACTCTGAAAACCCTAAACCTTAAACCCTATCACACTCCTACGCGTGTAGCTCACATACCTATTGCATTACACCCGCGGCACATTAAACCACAGAAGCTGCTCCACTACAAAGGCACTATAAAACCCTAAAATTCTAAAACCCGGCCCATTTAACCGCAGACGCTGCCCCACTACAAAGGCACTATAGGCCAAGTGGTGCGCCAAACACAGCAGACATTCCGTCGAATCGACTGCGACGCCGCTACGGACGTAGCCGATGCGCGATTCGAGTACTTTATCAACGAGGTAAGCGTTCTGTGTGTGTCTTTGTTTGGTTATAAAATAGTTGTCCTTATGAAATAGTAAGTAGTCCATATATAATAGTAAGTTGTCCATATATAATGGTAAGTTGTCCATATATAATGGTAAGGAATTCATATATAGTAGTAAGTTGTCGATATAAAAGTGAGTTGTCCATATACTATAGTAAGTTGTCCATATATAATAGTAAGCTGTCCAGATATTATAGTAAGTTGTTCATATATAATAGTAAGTTGACCATATATAATAGTACGTTGTCCATATATAATAGTAAGTTGTCCATATATAAAAGTAAGTTGTCCATATATAA